CTGAACCGGACCACTTCATGTGGAACACCATGATTAAGGGTTACTCGCACAATAGCTCGCCAGAAGCCGCTGTATCTCTGTACATCGAAATGCTCGCCCGAGGAGTAGGACCGGACAACTACACCTACCCTTTCTTGCTCAAAGCATTCAATCAAGAGATGGCAATGGAGTTCGGTGATGAGCTCCATGCACATGTGACAAAGTTTGGTTTTTGCGCCAATCCACACGTTCAGGATGCTCTGATTCACGTCTACTCTATGGGCGGCGAGATGGATGCTGCCCGCGAGCTGTTTGAGAGAAGTCCCAAGCAAAATTCAGTTTTGTGGAATGCCATGATCTCTGCTTATAATAGGAGCAAGGAATATGAGGAATCATGCAAGCTTTTTGCGGAGATGGAGGAGCTTGAAGTTGAACCCACGTTGGTCACCCTTGTTTTGGTTATTTCCGCTTGCGCCAAGTTGAAAAACCTTGAGTATGGAGCTTGGATACATCGAAACATTGAAAACTTCGGCATAGAGCCCAATCTCGCTTTGCAGAATGCGTTAATCGACATGTATGCTGGATGTGGTGACATTAGGACTGCCTGTAGTATATTCGAGAATATGGGAACAAAGGATGTGATTTCCTGGACTGCAATGGTTGCTGGGTTTGCTAATGTCGGACAGGTCGACCATGCTCGAGAGCTATTCGAGCGAATGCCCGAAAGGGATATCATATCGTGGACCGCCATGATTGATGGGTATATTAAGGCAAACCGTTTCAAGGAGGTGCTCGAGATCTTCCGAGCGATGCAGGCTGCGAGTGTGAGGCCGGACGAGTTCACCATGGTCAGTGTGCTCACTGCCTGTGCAAACTTAGGTGCACTTGAGTTAGGAGAGTGGGCAAGAGTTTACATGGAGCACCACAAGATTAATATGGATGTGTTTGTGAACAATGCTATGATAGATCTGTACTGCAAGTGCGGATGCGTGGAAAAAGCTCTGGAAATCTTTGAAAAGATGCAAAAAAAGGATAAAATTACATGGACTGCAATGATAACAGGCCTTGCTGTTAATGGACAGGGAGAACAAGCTCTTGATCTTTTCACCAGGATGCTGAGCACATCTATAAGACCTGATGACGTTACCTACATTGGAGCTCTAATAGCTTGCATCCATGCCGGACTGGTTGATGAGGGCCGAGAAATCTTTTCTGGCATGATCAACACTCATGGTGTATTGCCCAATGTGAGTCACTATGGTTGTTTGGTAGATCTCCTTGGGAGAGCTGGGCAGCTTAAGGAGGCATTGGAGACAATAACAAACATGCCAATGAAGCCTAATTCCAGGGTATGGGGTGCTCTGCTTGGTGCCTGCAGAGTTTATAAAAATCTGGAGATGGGGGAATTGGCTGCCAACAAAATTCTCGAGCTTGAGCCCGATAACGGTGCCGCGTACGTGCTGCTTTGGAACCTTTATGCAAAGTGCAACCGATGGGAAGACGTTGCGAGGGTGAAGGATATGGCGATGCACAGAGGTGTAAAGAAGATTCCTGGGTGCAGTCTTATTGAAATCAATGGAGAAATGCATGAGTTTGTTGCAGGCGATCGGGCTCATCCAAGGATAGAAGAGATTCACACTAAGCTGGAAGAGATGGGAAGGGATCTGGTGCTTGCTGGTTATGTTTCGGATATAAAGGAGGTGTCTTTTGACATTTGCGAAGAGGAGAAGGAAGATACAGTTTACAGGCACAGTGAGAAGTTGGCCATTGCATTTGGACTGCTTAGTTCTCCTGCTGGTGCCACCATTAGAGTTGTGAAGAATTTGCGGATATGTTTAGATTGCCATAATGCAATCAAGTTGATTTCAAGTGTTTATAGAAGGTTGATAGTTGTGAGAGATAAGACACGCTTCCACCATTTTAGTGGTGAAAGGTGTTCCTGTAAAGATTACTGGTGAATCAATTTTGCTTAACATCAAGAGCAACGATTTCTTATCCGACTCAGTTTTATATATCTGGTATTGTATATTACATTTCTATCTGCATATTATTTTTTAGGGATAATGACATATAAACCACCCAAAACATTGACCATGGAAGCGTGTCAGTGTGAGGCCGGATGAGTTCACCATGGTCAGTGTGCTCACTGCCCAGAGTATGAAAGATTGTTTGTAATATTGATTTGATTCAGTGAATTCCTAGTTGTGATGATATTACGGTGTTTTGGGTTATATTTATTTAGTGTATAAGAGTATGAAAGATTGTTTGTAATATTGATTTGATTCAGTGAATTCCTAGTTGTGATGATATTACGGTGTTTTGGGTTATATTTATTTAGTGTATAAGAGTATGAAAGATTGTTTGTAATATTGATTTGATTCAGTGAATTCCTAGTTGTGATGATATTACGGTGTTTTGGGTTATATTTATTTAGTGTATAAGAGTATGAAAGATTGTTTGTAATATTGATTTGATTCAGTGAATTCCTAGTTGTGATGATATTACGGTGTTTTGGGTTATATTTATTTAGTGTATAAGAGTATGAAAGATTGTTTGTAATATTGATTTGATTCAGTGAATTCCTAGTTGTGATGATATTACGGTGTTTTGGGTTATATTTATTTAGTGTATAAGAGTATGAAAGATTGTTTGTAATATTGATTTGATTCAGTGAATTCCTAGTTGTGATGATATTACGGTGTTTTGGGTTATATTTATTTAGTGTATAAGAGTATGAAAGATTGTTTGTAATATTGATTTGATTCAGTGAATTCCTAGTTGTGATGATATTACGGTGTTTTGGGTTATATTTATTTAGTGTATAAGAGTATGAAAGATTGTTTGTAATATTGATTTGATTCAGTGAATTCCTAGTTGTGATGATATTACGGTGTTTTGGGTTATATTTATTTAGTGTATAAGAGTATGAAAGATTGTTTGTAATATTGATTTGATTCAGTGAATTCCTAGTTGTGATGATATTACGGTGTTTTGGGTTATATTTATTTAGTGTATAAGAGTATGAAAGATTGTTTGTAATATTGATTTGATTCAGTGAATTCCTAGTTGTGATGATATTACGGTGTTTTGGGTTATATTTATTTAGTGTATAAGAGTATGAAAGATTGTTTGTAATATTGATTTGATTCAGTGAATTCCTAGTTGTGATGATATTACGGTGTTTTGGGTTATATTTATTTAGTGTATAAGAGTATGAATGATTGTTTGTAATATTGATTTGATTCAGTGAATTCCTAGTTGGGGTGATTAGGCATTGACATATAACAAATTTGGGTTTGGGCAAATCATGTAAAAATTACATATCTCATTTTATGTGGTTATGCTTTGAGTATTGCTATTTTTATTGTTAAATGTTTTTTAAATTTTAAATTTTTAAAAATACCAAATTCACTCATCCTTTTGGGCGTCATAACTTCTTAAAAATTAGTATCAGAGACTTGACTTAATTATTAGCTTAATATTACTGAGTTGATCACTTGACACATGGATTTCCTAAA